TTCATGATCCTGAAATTCTAGTTTCAGCCACAATCTCTTATCTTAATTGTTTCTCGAATTAAAAATTAGGTTTATGTAAGTTCTTCCACTTACATTATATATATGTTATTCCTAAGTTCTTCCACTTACATTATATATATGTTATTCCTGATGCTTGTCTTGTATCCTTTTCCCCCTTTTCTTTCTTTTTCCTTAAATCTGTTTCGGCAAATGTTAGCGATATTTTTAGCTTTAGGATCTTGTATCCAACCAGATCATTGTTTGTTTTCTTTTTCGTTTATTTATAATTTCAGTGTAATTTGACGGCAGGATTTTTTTTTAAATATGTGAATTTAATTCAGTATCATTAGCTTGAAAGGAAATTTTTTGAAATGACAAGTTGGAACGTAAACTTCTTTTATGGGGATATTTGCTAACTTCTACCCCCCCAATTCGTCCAAAAAAACATATAACTTCTAATTTTTTCCCTTCCGTTCCACAAATTGCTAGGTATATGTGTTACCTAAATGGTTTAATTGAAACCATTACTTTGTTAAAGTTACCCTGCATGCTTGTCAAATTTACGAGGGATTTATGTACTTATCGAGCCTAATTATAATCAAAACCATCAAAATACCCATTTAACTATTATGGATCATTGAATTTCAATTTAAAACTGGTCTTTTACAAGACTCATGTTTCGTAAGACTGACATTGAGATTAAAAAACTTAAACACATTGAATTTATTACCTCTGGAAAAACAAAATCTAAGTTGGAGTTTAGTATATCACTGTACTGGCAGAAACAAGAATCTTATTTGTTAATTTTGAGTATCAGGCAGATCAAAAATGCCAACATGACCGTATCACCACTAATCCCAGCTCCAACTTCTGATAATAGACATCACACCCTGTTTCCTTTTGTCATAATCTAATTACTCAAGTAAAATTCACCTACTATTAGCTTAATGATGAGTTATAGACCTCAGAGGATATGAATGCAATCCTACAGCCTACAGGGTTGCAGCCTTTAACCCTTCCACTTTATAATAATCTCATGGTAGGCTTCCTGGTAGCTTACTATCACATGCTGCTTTCTTGCATTGCATACCGTCCACTCTTGACCTCTGCTAGTACTCCCACTTTATAAAATATTTGGTCGACGCGTTAACTTTTTTAGGATTTCAGAGGAGAGGAGGAATCATTTGGCTTCTTCTAAAGTAAATGAACTAGGAGATTTGTAATCGTTTGTTACTTTAGTCTTAGGAGATTTTCGCTCTCCTTGTGCTTTATTTCTTAGATGTCTCTTTTGGTTTTTCTAGGTTTCCTAGTTTGCAAGTTTCAGAAATACTTTGCTGCACAACGTTTTCTCTTTAGATACTTTGGAAAAAACAATAGAACCATGCACTGGAACATTCCTCTAATAGTTAATATGGGGGGTTGTGTATTATGTTTGACCTGCTAGTTACCGATCCTAACAACTAATTGGTTTGTTGATAATAGTGTATTGTAGTGGGTTTTAGTCCCACATTGGTTGTGAGAACACACATCACCTCCTCTATTTGTATAAATATATGTACACACTCAATATTCAACTCAAGTGAAATTTACCCAAGACTCTCTCTCTCTTACTTTAACATGGTATCAAAGCAAGGGTTATTATTTCCCTACCAATAAAATTTTTTTAACGCTTCTGCGTTCTTTTACCGAATCTTAGCATTGCTGTTTTGAAACCTCTTAACGCATTCTGCGTTCTCGTTTAACTATCGGGTTCCATTTTAATCTTCGGGGTTACATTTTAACCTTCGGGTTTCTACATTAACCTTCGGGTTCTATTTTAAACCTTCGGATTTCATTCTAACATTCGGGTTCTATTTTAAACCTTCGGGTTTCATTCTAACCTTCAGGTTCTATTTTAAACCTTCGGGTTCTATTTTAACGACATCGCCGTTTCAAGACCATCTATTGGTCTCAAATTTACGGCATCGTCGTTTTCAAGACCATCTCTCGGTCTCAAATTAACGGCATCGCCGTTTTAAGCCGTCTCTCGGCCTCAAACGAATGTCATTGTCGTTTCACAGTCAGTAACAGCATGCGAGACAGTTCTGAAGAGTTCAGAAACTGCTGAGGAATGTGCATGACACGTGGCCATTAACTGTTAAAGAACGTGAGAGACGTTGATGGCAAGAATCGCGTTGATAACTACCTAAATAATAGTATCTAAAACATGGGAGAGCAGTTACAAAACTGTCGGGTAGTTTAGGCTTTCTAAGAAAGTCATGACTGTCTTGGAAGCCGAGACAGTCATAACTGTCTCGGCCGTCGAGACAGCTACGATTGTCTTGAAAGCACAATTCCTCCATGATCTACTAATTTTAGTTATCCTTTCCAGGGGCCATAAATACCCACTGGGATCATTTTTGATAGAGATGACAAATTACAGAGCATAGAGCATAGAGCACAGAGAGCAGAGAGGCTTGAGCGAATTCCAAGAGTTCTTCTCCTTCCAACAATTAGGAGATTCCTTAAAATCTAAGATTTGACTTGATCTTGAGAAGAGTATTCATCTTACTTCGATAAGATATTCACTGAATCTGTTCTTGCTTCTAAACGAAGGAAAAATCCCCAAAACCTTTACAATTCAACCAGAATCTACGATTTGATGGTCCACGGGCAAACGCACCCCCGGCACAGGCGAAGATCCCACAAAAGCAGGAGTTGATAAACAATTTTTGTGTTATTTTCTAAAGAAATTGTAACTTTTTTTATCTTTTTGTATAATTCATTGTAAACGACTGAAGTTTTATGGATTCCATAATAAAAACGATTTCTAACGAAAACAGGTATATGCGAAGAAGAAAGGATCTTCTATTGGGGACATTAAGTACACAGCTAGATTGGTTGCCAAATGATATGCACAGCTTGAGGGTGTTGATTACAACGAGGTATTTTCACCCGTTGTGAAGCATTCGTTGATTCAGATTTTATTGGCATTGGTGGCACAACTGGATTTGGATTTGGTCCAGATGGATGTTAAGACAGTCTTTTTACGCGAAGATTTAGATGAGGAGATCTACATGACATAACCATTGGGATTCAAAGCTGCAGAAAGAAAGATTTGGTGTGCAAGCTGAAGAAGTCTTTTTATGGATTGAAGCAATCGTCGTGACAGTGGTACAAGAGATTCGACAGCTTCATGATTGGCCATGGGTACACGATGAGCCCATATGATCTATGTGTTTACATGCACAAGCTACAGGATGATGAACACATATATTTGTTTTTATATGTTGACGATATGCCTATTACTTCCAGGAATTCTTCGGTTATTCGAAAGTTGAAAGAGGAGCTGTCATCCGGTTTGAGATGAAGGATCTTGGAGAAGCAAAAAAGATATTGGATATGAAGATCGAGAGAGACGGGGTGAAGGGGAGATTAAAGTTTATACAGAGGAGTTATTTGCAGAAGATGTTGAAGAAATTCAGCTTTGATGGCAATACAAAAACAGTTAGCACTCTATTGGCTCCTCACTTCAAGCTTTTAGCTAATATGTCATCTATTTCAGTTGAGGACAGAGATTACATGTCGATGTTCGCGGGGAAAATCGTTTTCTTCATTGAAGTCATTGTGATCTCAAAATAACAACTTTTTGTGGTTACAAAAGATCCGGTCTTTTTATAAGATCCGGTTATAATGAAAATCAAAGAAAAATAAATAAAGATTATAACTTTCTCCTTTTGAACAAATCACGAGCTCCTGTTTTGCGGTCGCTCGCTTGATGTGGGTTCTTTGCCTGCGCCGGGGTTTATCCGTGGACCACCGCGAGATCTAGATCCGATCAGATCTAAACAGTACAACGGGTATTATTCCACGAAGGAAATAATAGCCGGAGAGGATTGATTCACCAAGGAAACAATCGTCCAAGTCTCGGGATCTAAGACCAAGCTTAGATCCGGAGTACGTCTGCGTAGATCTGAGATCCGGTCCTCTCGAACACCTGCCTTATTTGGCGTTGACGGTCGCCGAGCACCAGATCTGAATGAGCAAGTCCTCGAATTCCCAAAATTGAAATCTTTTTTAGATCTGAGTCTCCAATCCAGCAGGGCTTCGCCTCTCTCCAAATTTTCCAACCAAAAGTCCTCCAAAATGATGAATGACCCCGCCTATTTATAGGCAACCAGATCTGTGCATTTGGCACAGATCTGGACCCGGGCTTTGCGTCCGTCGTTCGGTTGTTTCGGTCCTTGTATCCGCTTCGTCCGTGATTCGGTTATGCGGTTGATTGGTCTGAAATCGATTCGTTGACTTGATTCCTGATTTGGAAGTCTGGATCCCGATTAGGCAGTAAATCGGCTTTGGTGTCTGAGTTCGAATCCGTTATATGGTTGGATGACTCGTTGACTCCCTGAACCGTTGGTTTGATTCCGCACGCGAGTGGATTCATTCCGTCGTTC